TGCCATTGAATTCTGAATTATAACAATCCCCACTGGGTTTCCAAGGGTCAAAATCTTTACAAAAGCAGACTGCCTCATCTTTTTACTGAGAAGCAGCTGGTGGGTTTGAACTGCCAACCTTTTGGTTAGCAGCCAAATGCCTTAACCACTGCACTAAGAAGGATCAAACCAAAAAACCAAACCTAATCTACTGTCATCGAGTTGCTTCTAACTCATAGAGACGCCATTGGGTGTCTGAGGCAGTAAATCTTTACAGAAATAGATTGTTCCACCTTCCTTCTGTGGAGTGCCTGGTGGGTTTGAACTGCCAACCTTCTGATTAGCAGTCAAATGCCTTAGGCACTGCACCACCAGAGATCCTTAAGAAGAAAGGCTTCCCTGACCAGATCACTAGCTGGAAAATATGGCCTTCTGTGGTGATAGAAATTACACTGGAGATCGCATGAAAGAATTTTGCAAGACCAATGACTTATTCATTGCAAACACCTTTTATCAACAACATAAATGGCGACTATACATGTGGACCCTGCTGGATAGAATACATTGGAATCAAATTGACTACACTTGTAGAAAGAGATGATGGAGAAGCTCAATGTCATCAGTCAGAATAAGACCGGGGGCCAACTGTTTAACAGATCATCAATGGCTCGTATGTAAGTACAAATGGAAGCTGAAGAAAACTAAAACATGTCTATGTATGACAAGCCAAAGTACGACCTTGAGTATATCCCACTTGAATTTAGAGACCATCTTAAGAATAGATTTGACACAACGAACACTAATGACCAAAGAGCAGATGATCTGTAGGATGACATCAAGGACATCATATATGAAGAAAGCAAAAGGTCATTTAAAGACTGAAAAGAAAGAAAAGACCTAAATGGATGTCATAAGAGACTCTGAAACTTGCTACTGAATGCAGAGTAGCTAAACCGAATGGAAGAAATGCTTAAGTAAAAGAGTTGAATAGAAGATTTCAAAAGGAGGTTTGAAAGACAAAATAAAGTATTATAATGAAATGTACAAAGACCTGGAGTTAGGAAATCAAAATGGTAAATACATTTAACATTTCTCAATCTGAAAGAACTGAAGAAAAAATTCTAGCCTTGAGTTGCAATACTGAAGGATTATATGGGCAAAGTATTGTACAATGCAGGAAGCATCAAAAGAAGGTGGAAGGAATACACAGAATCACTGTACCATAAAGAAGAGGTTGATGTTCAACCATTTCAGGACGTAGCAAACGACCAAGAACCAATGGTACTGAAGGACAAAGTGCAAGCTGTACCCAAGGAACTGGTGAAAAACAAGTCTCCAGGAATTGATAGAATACCAATTAAGATATTTCAATGAATGGATGCAATGTGCTCACTCATCTATATCAAGAAATTTGGAAGACAGTTACTTGGACAACCTAAAGAAAGAATCCATATTTGTGTCCATTCCCAAGAAAGGCAATTCAACAGAATATAGAAATTACTGAACAATATCATTAATATCACAAACAAGGAACATTTTGATGAAACAAATTCAAAAATGGTTGCAGCAGTACATTGATGGGGAGCTGCCAAAAATTCAAGCCAACTCAGAAGAGGGTGTGGAATGAGGGATATCATTGCTAATATCAGATGGATCCTGGCTGAAAGCACAGAACACTAGAAAGATGTTTACCTAGGTTTTATTGACTATACAAAGTCAATAAAACTTTTATTTTATTGACTGTACATAGTGTGGATCATAACAAATTTTAGATAACACTGTGAAGAATAGGAATTTTAGCATATTTAATTATGCTCTTGAGGAACCTCTATATAGACAAAGAGGTGTAGTTCAAACAGAACAAGGGGATACTGCGTGGTTTAAAATCAGGAAAGGTGTATATCAGGGTTGTATCCATTTACCACACTTACTTAATCTGAGCAAATAATGGAAACAGCTGAATTATATGGAGAAGAATGCAGCATCAGGATTACAGGAAGAAGTGAAGATGACTCTTTGAGGACTAAAGTGCACCTGACCCAAGCCATGGTATTTTCAATTGCCTCATATGCATGCAGAAGCTGGAGAATAAATAAAGAAGGCCAAAGAATAATCGATGTATTTGAATGATGGTATTAATGGAGAATATTGCCAGAAGAATGAGAAGTATAGCCAAAATGCTTCTTAGAAGCAAGGATGGTGAGACTCCATCTCATGTAGTTTGGATATGATTGGGAGGTAACAGTCCCTGGAGAATGACATCATGCTTGGTAAGAGAGAGGAAGATCCTCAACAACATGGACTGACATGATTGGTTCAACAATGGGCTCAAACACAGCAATGACTGTGAGAATTGTGCAGGTCTGGGCAGTCTTGCGTTCTGTTGTACACAGTGTTGCTATGAGTCAGCACCAACTTGAAGGCACCTAACAACAACTGCATAAAGCAGGGTGTTACCCTAAATACGTATGTATTAGTCACAGATTCATCACTCACTCATTCACTGTCGTGGAGTTGGATCTGACTC